GTGACTAAGGTGCAATGGAATTAGGAGGAAAATTTTGTAAGGGCTAAAATTCAACTCGTGAGGTGTTTTATTAAATAGATATATAATATATATATATATATCAAGTTTAACGGGGGCGAGGAAGGGGCAGGGTAGAAGCGAGGTGAGGGTAAGTGTCGGTCCATCCCAACCCCATCCCCCCATGGGTTTATACAGATATTTGTATATACATTTACCGTCCAATACGTATAATCCATCTTCAGTCCAAACGGGACGGGTTTGGATGAATCCCCATTTTTCTCTGGTCCGCTGTCATCCCTAACCCAAATCAAGCCTAGTCCAAATTTCATCAGACATATAATCCTAATTTACCCAACCATTAACGTGTTAGCTCTTACTTGGTCCAAGTTCAATCCAATCCAAAACCAATTAAACCCAATTGTTTATCTAAACCTCATCAACCTATTAACCCCATACCACATTGATCTGACAGTCCACATCCTATTTCACCCTTTGGCCCAAAAAAAAACAAGAGAAGGAAAAAAACAGTTTCATAATTTTTGAAATTGCCCCAGCTCCAAAGAAAAATTATTGGATGTCTCAGCAACTTCAGAAATTGCAAGATTGCCCTAGCAGCTTTTAAAACTACAACTCTACTCCACGAGTTTCTCAAAAATTACAAATTTTCCCTCAAGTTCTAGAAAATTGCTGAATCATCTCATAAATTTCAAAAGTTACAAAATCATCCACCAGAAGTTTCAAAATTGCAAAATTATCCCCCATAAGTTTCAAAAGTTGTAGAATCATCCCCTAAAAGTTCCATAAGTAGCATAATCATCCCCAAAAATTTCAAGAATTGCAAGGTGACCCCAAAAGTTTCAAAATTTCAACATTCCTTTCAAAGAAAGCTTGATTAAGATGCATACTTTCGCAAAATTTGAGACTAATATTTTTATTCATAGGGAATTTATAGAATTTGCAAAAGGTCAAAAACATATTCTTTACTTTTAAGCTTTCTCACTTCTTGAAATTGTCGAGTGTATTCTTGAACATGTTTTTATGTCATTGTCATCTTTCGAGAGTCGACCATGAATTCATACAATTCTTACGATGCATATCCATATACCTATCGAACTTCAAGAATGTCTCGAGGTTACAATTCTTCATAGAGTCACCACTATATCTACTCCACTCCTAGATTTTCTCGAGATCATCATTTAGTCTATAGCCAGTTTGAGTTTTATTATGAGGATGATCAATAATACTACTCTGGGACATTCAGATCACATGATAATTATCCACGTCCTAGTTCCCAAAGTTGTGGTCGAGGTCGGTCTCGATTTGTAACCAATACCCTTTATTACCATTTTAAAGCCCAAGCTTCCCTAGATAAAAAGGTTGAGACCTTCGAAATTGGAGTGGTCAATAACAAACATTCATTTAGCCGATTACGTGAGGAGTGTAGAGAGATGAAAAATTAATTGTCTAAATTCACTACTCAACTTTCCCACTTAACTAAGATTCTTGAAAAGGGTTCAATGGAGAAAAACAGGGTCAAATCCTCAATATCACATAATTTCGAGCACACTCAAAGTGAGAATTACATTGTTGTTCCATTAGACCCTCATGATGTCCATACTTAAAAATCTTTTTTTGAATCTTCACTGGTCGTTGAACTTGAGGAAAAATCCATTCAGTTGCTCTTATGTTGGATGTTGAACATATCGAGTTTTTATTTAGAATTTGTTGGTGATTTTTCTGTGTCTATTCTTTCAAGTCATGCTATCATTGTTCCTGATTCTTTCCTACCTGAGATTGTTAACTTTGTTATGGATTCTTCCCCATCTAAGATTGCTGACTTTGTTTCTCTGTCCATTATTAAGTGTTCACTTAAGTTTGTACTTAATTACTTTTAGCACCAGGGCGTTATTGTTACTCCTTTGTCATCGATGTCTTGTTCTANCTTCCCCATCTAAGATTGCTGACTTTGTTTCTCTGTCCATTATTAAGTGTTCACTTGAGTTTGTACTTAATTACTTTTAGCACCAGGGCGTTATTGTTACTCCTTTGTCATCGATGTCTTATTCCACTGAATACTTAATGTTGAAATCTAATGGGAATTGTTTTGTTATTCTTGAGTTTAGATCTATTGCTTATTTGCTTAATTTTCCATTGAATATTAGCATTAGTCCAAATTTTTATACAAAGGACATGCTACTTTATTGAATCACCTTGGAGTCCCCCGTATTTGCTGGTGGTATTGCCTCTTCATCAACACTATCTCTAGTTCCTATTTCTCCATTTCCACCGCATATTCTAGAAAAGATAAATGACGTACTACAGTACCAATACTAGTACTAGATTGTTAGCATTCTAAATGGAGATTGTCGCATTTATCCTGCTCGATGGAAAGATGGTGATACTCCTTTCATTATAGAGGAAAAGTACTACCATCTTTATTCTGTTCCTTTAAAGTACTTTGGCTTTGATAACTCTCCAAAGGAGAATTTTTCTCAACCGAAGGAGAATGATGAGGATCGTGTTGGAGTTTGATAGATACTATAGATTTATTATGAGAGTTATTTGGGTACTATTTAGTATTTATTTTTTTTAGTAATTTCTTTTAATTTTTAAGAATTTATTTATCATTTTGATTATGTATTAGTTTTAGCATTTTGTATTCCCTATATATATATATATATATATAAGGGGTAAAGCTCTTATTTGAGATAGACTTTAATTATTATTGAATATTGAGAATTGTTTTCTCCTTTTAAGTTCTCTTTCTCATCTCCTTAATTCTTCCTTTCCTCATCACCCTTTTATTCTATTTCTCATCCCTTTTTCTTCTTCTCAATCTACATCAATTTGATATCAAAGCTACTACAACCTACATAAAAAAAGGTTATGCAATCAAAATAGGGAGACCTTGATTGAACACTATTAACAATAATGCCAGACACTTTTAATGTTCAATCAAAGTATCACTTTTCGGATAATCACACTATGTCGGACATCTAATGACCTGAATCAGGTTAAAAGCATGCTTATAACTTTCTCTTAAATAATAAAAGAAAATCACAGTTAGGTAAAATTTCTAATTCATGTTCAAATCATGGCGTTCTATTGAGCATAGAATTTTGTATATTTTTGTAACTTATTCTTACCATTGTTACACTTGTTGATTATTCAGTCAAATTAAATTAAATTTGTGTTAAGTGTGTAAATTGTGTTTGTAGGTACAAAAGGGTGAAGAAGGAATGATTTGGACTCAATTTGATGTCATTCAACGCTTTGCAAAGAATGATCCAAAAAAAATGCTTTGAAAATGAGAAGAAATGAACCCAGAGCAATAGCAACAAAACAGGAAAAAGACCCTGTTGTACCAATACAACTTGTACTGGTTCATCAGGTTACAAAGAAGGCTTGTACCAATACAACATCTTTGTACCGGTTCATCAGGTGATAGAATGTTCTTCCACCGGTTCATCCTCCTCTTTGTACCAGTAAAAACTCAAACAGAAACTCTTCAACTAGTTCATCCTCCTCTTTGTATCGGTTCTTTAGCAAACAACTACGACTCACAAGTCCCGAACTTTGTTTTGGTTGGCGTGAGGAGACTTTTATCCACTTTTACACTCAAGTGCATGCTACCCTTACCAAGACAACCCATCTCTTAATTGGTCTTGGCTCTTGCGAAGCAACATATGGCAAGCTTCAAGTGGACAACNCCGAACTTTGTTTTGGTTGGCGTGAGGAGACTTTTATCCACTTTTACACTCAAGTGGATGCTACCCTTACCAAGACAACCCATCTCTTAATTGGTCTTGGCTCTTGCGAAGCAACATATGGCAAGCTTCAAGTGGACAGCATACGAGCGAGAAAGAAGCTTCTACGGCATTAACCACCACCCACCTCACACTTGATCCAATAAGGAGAGAGGATTGAGGGAGGATTCATTCTTCATTACTCTCACACACTTGGGAGAGAAGGGAGTATTAGTTTGTGTTTGGTAAAGTGTAGAGAAGAAGTCGGGGCGACAAAGTGGAAAAACAGAGCATCTCCATTTCCATTTCAAAGCTTTAGTTAGTTTGTTTGATCTTGTATTTGAACTTGCTATATTGAAGTGGAGCTTAGTAGAGTTAATCTTTTCAATATCATTATTTATTTTCCTTTGATTTCCATGTCTATTGTTGCCAATTTCGGTTTGATGGTTTGCTTCCGGCTAAGTTTCGGCATAATCCAAGGAAGGATTCTCACTTGTGATTAAGTGATATTGATTCTAGATTCTAATCGTGTAGTGTCTTAGAAGATGGGAAAAATCACTTTCGAAAACTTGTTTGATGTGTAAATCTCTTCATTTCCTGTCGCTGGATTTTTCGGCATGGGTAATGCTTGGAGTCTGTCATTGACAAGATTTCTACCTTTCCAACAATCATTTCTTATTCTCAAAGATATATACTTTTCAAAATCCGATTTTAGTTGAATATTTTATGTCTAAGCAAGTTTGATTACAAGTTTAGACAAGTTATAAAATGAGAGCTATGCACATCTTTGAGAGATATGCACCTTCCTTCTTGGCAATCACAATATGACAGGTGTCTAGTATACAAAGTAAGGGTAAAAACATGATAATGTCATGATCAAAGACCAAAATCACATTCAAGCAACATTTTGATGATCTAATTTATGTCCTACGTAAAAAATGAAGAATGTGGAGGAAAATAGTAATATCTTCAAACTATCTCCAAATTTAATATTGAAAGAATCTGCACAGGCTATATAGCATGATACATTTGATCAAAACCATACAAAATATAGAAAAACAATTGTATATATCATCTCTAAGGCCATGCCATGAGATATTTGTACATGATGTATGAAATACATAAAACACTTGTAAGCAACCCTACCAGAAAAACAATTGTCTATGCTAGCAATTTTTCATCAAATTAAACCTAACCACCACAGGCATCTGAAAATAGCACACTAAAACAAACAAGAAATTTTCAGAGCAACCATTAGAAGCAACTTATGATCACATACCTTTCTGCAAGCATAGCAGAGCCCTCTTCAAACAACTCCTCCACCACCCCAACAGCAGAAAGCTTATTTGTCGTTTTGTTCATAAAATTTTGAGATTTCTTCCCAAAGATAAGTGAACTGAGCAAATTTTGTTTGTTTCTAGTTGTAGGAGGCAAAACTGGATGGGCATAAGGAATTATATCAACAACTAGGCAGGTTGTATCATCCTTCAGGCCTCTAGACCTGAGAGCCTCCTAAATTGTAAAACAGAAAAAAATTAGCAAAACATAGAATGAAAGGAAGCATTAAAACTGTATAAGATGGAAGCTCATGGTAGAATCACCTTAACAACCAGCTTTGCAGCAAGTTCTGCAGGTAAACCCCGGCAAGATTGGGCAGCCATATCAGATGATAAAGCATCCCAGATACCATCAGAAGCAATTATGAGTCTTCCACCAGCATTTGAAAGCTAAACCACCAACAAACTGCTTATTTTCAAAAGATACTAACGCATGATTTAAAAACCAATCACCATCAGAACCAAGATGTACTGACCTTTACTTGCTTAACGTGAGGTATAGGGACAATAAACTCCCCCACATCTGTGTCACCTATTGACCTCGAAAGGCATAATCCACCAGGCCAGCAACGTAGTGGCCCAACCTATAAATCAAATCAATATCAGCCAAATGGAAGTACGGCTCTAAACGTTTTCAACAACAGATGACATCCATGAGGGAGAAATTTTTTTCCTTGTACCTCATTGCCCCCAAAAACATTGAGCCTCCCTACTTCACCTCCGCTGGCGGTGACACGTTGCCTCTCTTCTTCATTCTCTTCCAGCCGATGATCAACGGTCAACAGAGAAACCACACCCCCTTGTGTGTCCAGTATGCATCGAGAATCCCCAACAGATGCAACAGTCACAGTCCAACCATCAATCACAACGAATGTAACTGTTGTGCCAGATGTCTCTCCTATCATTCATAACAAACAGAAAAGATAACAACACTTGAGAGAATGAAAGACAAGGCTCCCAAAACAACAAAAAGGAAGCCTATACATGCCTTTTTGCTGAAACTCTATGTCAGTTTTAACAAATCCTGCAACTAATGCCCGCGGAAGGGCTTGAAGCCAATCTTCCCTACCAATTCCTTGAGGAATTGCACTCAAGACATTGGTCAACAAATTCTCTTTTGCAAATATAGCAGCCGATATACCATTATGCCCATCAAATATCTACCACCAAAAATGTGAATCAGCATTCCCATAGTTACAACAAACAATGATGGAATCACGAATATCATAAACCTTTTAAGTCGTTCGTAATTGTCGATTTAAAGGAGTTCATTTTACCGCAAAAACCAAAAATGAAGTTGAAGGATTTCCTGGAATCCTCTGGCAATCAGGCTTGATCAAAAAATAATCCTCCCCTTTCTTTGCCAGGGCAGCCTGTCCATACTTCACCATAGGTTTCTCCACCTCCTCATTCCTGAGCTCGCGACCAATCAGAGTCCCAAGCGGAACAAGAGGTGGCTTTGGCTTCATCCTTGAACCTTCGGCCAGGCTCATTTTACTCTAGGTTCCAACATTTCAAATCCTTTGCATCAAAACCCTAATTCCACACAAAATTACAAAATCAATCACGCTGCTTCTCTTCCACGATTCCACCAACTCGTCCAAATCATTCTTCTGTACAACACAACGACTTCAAAATATAAAATAATATTTATTTAACCAAAGTTCACAGTTCTACCAATTGATCTGAATCCTTCTTCTATATAACATAATCCACAGTTCAGCAATGTAAATGAAATTCACTATAAAGAGAACTAGAAAAATGTCACATTGTTTAACATGTTCATTTANACCTTAACAACCAGCTTTGCAGCAAGTTCTGCAGGTAAACCCCGGCAAGATTGGGCAGCCATATCAGATGATAAAGCATCCCAGATACCATCAGAAGCAATTATGAGTCTTCCACCAGCATTTGAAAGCTAAACCACCAACAAACTGCTTATTTTCAAAAGATACTAACGCATGATTTAAAAACCAATCACCATCAGAACCAAGATGTACTGACCTTTACTTGCTTAACGTGAGGTATAGGGACAATAAACTCCCCCACATCTGTGTCACCTATTGACCTCGAAAGGCATAATCCACCAGGCCAGCAACGTAGTGGCCCAACCTATAAATCAAATCAATATCAGCCAAATGGAAGTACGGCTCTAAACGTTTTCAACAACAGATGACATCCATGAGGGAGAAATTTTTTTCCTTGTACCTCATTGCCCCCAAAAACATTGAGCCTCCCTACTTCACCTCCGCTGGCGGTGACACGTTGCCTCTCTTCTTCATTCTCTTCCAGCCGATGATCAACGGTCAACAGAGAAACCACACCCCCTTGTGTGTCCAGTATGCATCGAGAATCCCCAACAGATGCAACAGTCACAGTCCAACCATCAATCACAACGAATGTAACTGTTGTGCCAGATGTCTCTCCTATCATTCATAACAAACAGAAAAGATAACAACACTTGAGAGAATGAAAGACAAGGCTCCCAAAACAACAAAAAGGAAGCCTATACATGCCTTTTTGCTGAAACTCTATGTCAGTTTTAACAAATCCTGCAACTAATGCCCGCGGAAGGGCTTGAAGCCAATCTTCCCTACCAATTCCTTGAGGAATTGCACTCAAGACATTGGTCAACAAATTCTCTTTTGCAAATATAGCAGCCGATATACCATTATGCCCATCAAATATCTACCACCAAAAATGTGAATCAGCATTCCCATAGTTACAACAAACAATGATGGAATCACGAATATCATAAACCTTTTAAGTCGTTCGTAATTGTCGATTTAAAGGAGTTCATTTTACCGCAAAAACCAAAAATGAAGTTGAAGGATTTCCTGGAATCCTCTGGCAATCAGGCTTGATCAAAAAATAATCCTCCCCTTTCTTTGCCAGAGCAGCCTGTCCATACTTCACCATAGGTTTCTCCACCTTCTCATTCCTGAGCTCGCGACCAATCAGAGTCCCAAGCGGAACAAGAGGTGGCTTTGGCTTCATCCTTGAACCTTCGGCCAGGCTCATTTTACTCTAGGTTCCAACATTTCAAATCCTTTGCATCAAAACCCTAATTCCACACAAAATTACAAAATCAATCACGCTGCTTCTCTTCCACGATTCCACCAACTCGTCCAAATCATTCTTCTGTACAACACAACGACTTCAAAATATAAAATAATATTTATTTAACCAAAGTTCACAGTTCTACCAATTGATCTGAATCCTTCTTCTATATAACATAATCCACAGTTCAGCAATGTAAATGAAATTCACTATAAAGAGAACTAGAAAAATGTCACATTGTTTAACATGTTCATTTACTATATATAATCGATAATTTCATCAACACGCATTCACATACATATAATCGTAGCAAATATAGTGAGGAAGTTGATCCGTGGTAAGCCCTAAACTTACAGTGGGGACAGTGAGAGATATCAATGGGTGAAGAGAAGAACGCGCATTGAAGAGAGGTTGGAACGGAGCTCTGGATTGGTAAGTTCTGAAGCAGACTAAAAACCTAGGACAGAGAAAGAGAAGAGAGTCTGAGCTGTTTCTGTGATTCGATTGGCTACCGAAAAATCTATACAGAGAAAGTGAGAGAAACGCGGGGAGAAAAAGAAGAGTTTCTGGGCCACAACTTCGGACTGTGACATTTTTATGTCCTTCGTGTCGTCGTAAACAGTATGAAATGACGAAAATATCCTTAAGGAACATTTAAATTCCGTTCACATTTCTTTTCATGGGATTCACTGATGAATCAAATTCATACATGTGTTTGATATGTGATCATCATTATTGTAAGAGGCAAAAAAAAATGAAATTACTTCAATGGAATATGACTAGATACTTTGGAAAAAGAGAGTTTTTGAACTTGATCTCTAATAATACTCAGAGTAATTTTCAAGCATGAGCTCAAACGCGGAGGTTAGACAAGTAAATCAGACTCGCAACATGAGCAGAAGCCAAACAAACCTACCACGAATGCATGACCAATAAGAAGCCACCACCGGCAGACAACCCGAGAATGTCATAGAGACTAATCCTTCTATGTGGAATCCCCTTGCAAATAACGAGTTGGAGGCCCTTCACCTGGTTAATCGACGTCTGCAACAGCAGAATGAGGAGCTTTTGAAGCTCTTGCAACGCCCTTAGTAGGCGCGACCGGCCTAAGAAGGCCAGAATAACTCACCTTACAGAGAACAACAACATCTCGATCCCCTTAGAAAAGTTAATGAAGGAGGGAAAAATAGCCGAACCTTAGGACAGGTTCCCCATCAGCCCCCTAGGAATGGACACAATAAAGAAGTGCAAAGTTAAAACGATGGGGGGGTGAGACGAATGATTTTTTCCCTTATCAGCAGGAGAGGAGATAACAGTACTGGGAGCAGTGCTACAAGGACATCTAGCAAGAGCCCAGCCACATGAAGGAAGCTATGAAGAGTAAAGTTTCAATCACAATAGATGCTCTGGTGCAACAAACTGAGTCCCCATTCACTACCGCGCGTGCTGCATTTTTCCCTCCCCCAAAATTCAGAATGTCACAGATAGAGGTTTTTGATGGAACGAAAGACCTTGTGGATCACCTCAATACCTACAAGAACTAGATGAAGCTGCATGGATATCAGGACCCTGTGCGCTGTAGTGCCTTTGTTATCACATTGAAAGGCTCAGCCCTAGCATGATTCAATAGGCTCCCCCCAGCTTTGATCTCCTCCTTTAAGGAGCTTTCCATATCCTTTGTCTCTCACTTTCATAGGAGCTCGGACATACTGAAAGCTGAGCTGCCACTTACTGAACATGAAGTAAGGACCCCAAGAGAACCTCAGTTTTTATGTCTAGAGGTTCAATTCGGAGTCACTGAAAGTAGATGTCCCATATGAGAAATTTGTCATTACTGCATTTATAGCTGGTTTAGGCGTGCAGTCCAAAGATCTAATGTTCTTTATTTTGAAGAACCCTCAGGCAAACATGGCTGAGGTGCTGGCCAAGGCAGAAAAGTATATAAAACGGTGAGTAAGCTCTCCTCTCAAAGGTGGGGAGCTCATCCACGCAAAAAGACAAAGGAAAATAAGAAAAGAAAAAAAAAAGGGACCGAAGTCCTAGGAAAGAAAGAGGATGTGATAGGTCTCCAAGAAGAGACAGAGATCGCTCCCCCAAAAGGAGGGGAAACGTCAGAGATCGCTTAGGTCCGTCGCAGCTAGAATTACAGTCGAGGTATGCACCTCGGCAGCTCCCTCTCCTCTCACTGCAACGATATCACAAATCTTATATGAGGTGCAGAATGAAAAATTCCTAAGGTGGTCACCCCGGATGAAAGTAGATCCAACAAAAAGAGATCCCATGAAGTACTGCGAATACCATAGGGATCATGGTCACCACACTGATGATTGTATCCAATTGAAGAAAAAGATTGAGTTCCTGATCCAGCGAGTACAGTTGTGCCGCTATGTAGCTCAAGATAATTAGAACCAGCTCCTCCATCTCCGCTACCTCAGCAATAGGCTCCTGTGCAACACCAACAACCCCTGGGAAAATCAGAGTAATATTTGGAGGATTCGCAAGAGTTGGAAAGTCTAGTTCAACCAGGAAGGCTCACCTATGTAGAATCAGAACTAGCGAAGCACTAGAAGTGCACACTGTGTCCAATGCACCTCAACTCAACACGATTATCACCTTTTCAGACTCAAATTTGGAAGGCTACCAACACCCCCATAACAACCCATTGGTTGTAAGGGTTATCGTGGCTAATAGAACTGTTCATCGAGTTTTAATTGAAAATAGGAGCTCTATAGATATCATATTCACCTCTATGTTTGACAAAATAGGCATAGATAGGGAAAAGCTGGAGCCAGTCAGTGCTCACTTGATGGGATTCGTAGGGGAGAGGGTAATGTCCTTGGGCTCAATCCAGCTCGTGCTCACTATGGGAGATCCTCCCTGCCAGGCCACCACTACAATAAGATTCCTGGTGGTTGATGTACCTTCAGCATACAATATGTTGCTAGGAAGACCTTCCCTCAACGCAATAAGGGCAATCCCCTCTGCCTATCACTTAGTTATGAAGTTTCCAATAGAAAGTGGAGTTGGAGTTGTCTGAGGAGACCAACGTGTAGCAAGGGAGTGCTACATGACCTCGATGAAGCAGAAGGAAGTAGAAAGTATCCAATTAGATGAGCCCGACATAAGAGAAGAGTTGGACATTAGGCCAACGCCATCAGAGGAACTAGAGCCTATTCAGCTTGATGAGGAGTCGGAGCACCTTGTTTACATCAGGTCAAAACTAAGTAGNTCCCCATCAGCCCCCTAGGAATGGACACAATAAAGAAGTGCAAAGTTAAAACGATGAAGGGGGTGAGACGAATGATTTTTTCCCTTATCAGCAGGAGAGGAGATAACAGTACTGGGAGCAGCGCTACAAGGACATCTAGCAAGAGCCCAGCCACATGAAGGAAGCTATGAAGAGTAAAGTTTCAATCACAATAAATGCCCNTCCTAAAGGTGAACATGAGAGTATTCGCTTGGAAGCAAGAAGACATGGAAGGAATCGACCCCTCGGTTATCACACACAAGTTAAGCGTGAATCCCACTTGCAAGCTTGCTAAGCAGAAACAAAGAAGTTTTGCCCTAGAATGTCAGAAGGCAATCAATGAGGAGGTCAGCAAGCTTCTCCATGCCAAAGACATCAAGGAAGTAGATTACCCTGCTTGGTTAGCTAATGTGGTTCTTGTTAAGAAGATCAATGGCAAGTGGCGGCTCTGTATTGACTTCACTGATCTCAATCGGGCATGCCCCAAGGACAGTTTTTTCTTACCTCGGATTGACTTAATAGTGGATGCCACCTCTAGACATGAGCTCCTCAGCTTCATGGATGCCTTCTCAGGCTATAATTAGATCAGGATAGATCCAACTAATCAGGAGAAGACCTCTTTTGTGACTGAGCAGAGAACATACTGTTATCAAGTCATACCTTTTGGGTTGAAGAACGCAAGAGCCACCTACCAGCGTCTTGTGAATTGAATGTTCCAAAAGTAAATTAGAACGTCCATGGAGGTCTACATCGACGATATGTTGGTAAAATCATTAAAGGCAGAACTCCACATTGCACATCTAGTAGAATCGTTCTAGGTCCTTAAGGAATACAAGATGAAACTCAATCCTGCAAAATGTGCCTTCAGAGTGTCTACAGGGAAAATTTTGGGCTTTATAGTCAACAGTAGAGGAATTGAGGCTAACCCAGAAAAGGTTAAGGCAGTCTTGGATATGCAATCACCATCTAGTGTAAGGGAGATCCAACACTTGACCGGGATAATAGCTGCCTTGAGTCTTTTGTCTCTAGATCAAGTGTCAGCCCTTTTTTCAAGTCCTAAAAAAGGCATTCCAGTGGGATACCCCATGTGAAGAAGCATTCAAAGCTTTAAAGGCCTACCTGAGCTCCCCTCCCATTCTGGTAAGCCCCTTGGAGAGTGAGGTACTAACCCTTTATCTAGCTGTTTCAGATTTCTCAACTAATGCAACACTAGTGAGGGAGCGAGACAGGTCTCAACAACCAGTCTATTACTGCAGTAGAGCTCTGAGGGGGCAGAGTAGAGGTACTAAAAAATGGAGAAGCTTGTTTTAGCGTTGGTGACTACGGCCAAGAGACTTAGATCATATTTACAGGCTCACACTATCGAGGTCCTAACAGAACAGCTAATGAAGCAAGTGCTACATAAACCAGAGTCTTCAGGGAGGCTGATAAAGTGGGTCATAGAACTCAATGAGTTTGACATCAGATTCAAGCCTAGAACTGTGATCAAAGGGCAAATTCTGGCAAATTTCATCGTGGAGTTTACAACACCAGCACCTATGGAAGCAACGCAACTAGTGTCTGACCTCCTCACATGGAAGCTTTCTATAGATGGAGCTGCCAACGCTCAAGGAAGCGGTGCAGGCCTGATACTGACCTCTCCAGATGGAATAGACGTCGAATACACCCTCAGATTTGAGTTTAAAGCTTCAAACAACGAGGCAGAATATGAAGC